GTGTGTGTGTGTTCCTGCAGCTGCTCCAGGCTCATCAAACTGACAGCTGGTTTCCACTGAAGTCACTGAGAGCCTGAACCCACCGGGCATTTCTCACTGGCTCGGTTTACCGACAGTTTTCGGAATACGACCGGTATTAATGGAAATCTCTGTGCTGATGACACAAATCCCAAAATATTTACAGGATCTCAGTTTTCAGAATTATCCAAACAGAAACCAGTGTGAGGTTATTTTCTAAACATTTGTTTTTCCTTCACTCATTTAAACATAATGACTTTCTAAACCGTCTCATGTTGGTTGGATCTGAAAAATATAAGAAACTAGAATATTACATAGAATATATTTTAAACAATAGTGTCAGGCTTCTGAAATGCTTATTTTAATGCACTCAGTAATTGGTTGGGGCTCCTTTTGCAAGATACCACACTTGTTCCATCCATTAAATTGTCAGTTCTCATTAGATAATCCTCAGCATTACAAGAAATAAAACCATGAAATATTTTACTATATTTTAATCTGTGTATGAGTTTCACTTTCTGAAATAAGTGACAAAAGATACTGAAACTTTTCAAGATGTGAAATTTTTATAGCTGTACCTTTATTTTGTACTTTTCTTGATTTCTTGATCAGATGATGCAAAAAAGGAGTTTCCATTGCAGTTTTGAAAAATAAACCAATTTTGATACGGCTGAAAAAAACTCAATAATTTTTTTAAGTTGTTGTGTTTCTATTGAGTGAATTTACTTTCTAAATGTCAAATTGTGCAAATAAATGCATCAAAAGTGTTTCCATACTTATATCAAAATTACTTTATTTCGCAAAACTGAAACCCTTTTTTTGTATCACAGGAGTCACATGATCAACAACCGGATGTTGCCACTGGAACAAACCACAAAGAAGGAGACAACAGGAAGTAATTGGAGTACTAACATATGTTTTTAATGATTTATCACATGAACAAACTTATTTCACGTCTGATTTTAATTGCGTTTCTTATTTAACAAAACCACCACAATTGAGAAATTGTGTTTTTATTTTGGCGACATTAGTGGAAAATTAAAGTTTTGAGCACATTAGTAATGGAAACGCAGCTATTAGAAAACTACAAATCCCTCAAAATCAGAGAAATCAAGGTGCAGTGGTCCAGTCAAGGTCCAGATGTATCAAAATTCCTCCACAATGATTTGAGCGACTGATCAGTTTAGTAATCACGCAGAAACAATCTATGTAATGACTGAATGGGGCTGATGCAGAGGGACTAAAACAGATTCATGCACGCGGCCGAATCGCTGGTTTGTTGCTAAGCATTAAAAAGAGAGCATGACTTCATCCAGAAATCCCAGCAGCACCAGTATGAAGGGGCGACCCAGTCGTAATGGAACCAGTCTGATTCTGATCTTAATGCCTGTAAGTGCCCCCTCGGGCTTCACATTTGTTTTGTTGCTGCAGATGTTGCCGTGGCGTCACTCAGCATGGAGCTACATGGCTGCTGACGTCAAAGTGCGTGGTTCGGGCCGCGGTCCAAACGGCTCGGTTATCAGCCGTTAAAGCGGCAGCTGTGTCACTGTGAACTTCATGACATCCGTCCTGATCAGATGATCACTGTGTGTGCACTTCTCCGGGCCTGTCGGTTCGGGCTAGCGGCAGCGAGTCGGTCTGAGATCAGGACGGCAGCAGCGCCATTTTTAAACTGCTGCTGTATGGCAGGCCGTTTTAACATAAAATGGGTTTCACCAAACTTAACTTTCCAGATTATCTGAAATTTATGATGGAATTTTAGGACCACGCTAAGAAATAATAAAAAAATAATAAGAAGAATAAAGTTGTAATATTACAGGGATAGTCACAAGATTACTGGGATGAAGTCATATTACAAGAATACAGTCATAAAATTAAGAATAGAGTTGAAATGAGAATAAAGTAATGTAATTAGTAATTGTATTACAATAAGTAATACAATAAGTAATACAATTTGAAATAAAAGAATATTACAAGAATACAGTCATAAAATTGCAAGATTAAAGGAATATTACAACTTTAATTCTTGTAAAACTAAGCATTTATTTTCAAAATATTATGACTATTCTGACATTATTATGACTTCCTTGTACAATTTATTCTCATTTTATTTTATCTAGTTTCTTAGCATGGCTATAATACTCCATCATAGTTTATAACTAGACATATTAGGGAATTATATCCCTAATTACATTCCGACAGATATTAATGACGTCAGATCTAGCATTGAGTTGCATGCAAGCTTTAATTAAAGTTATCTGTAATTAATACTATCTGAAACACATTTCAGATTTAAACAATTAAATTATGATTAGTCATGAAGTCTATTTAAGATATTTCACATTTTGTTCCGACTGGAATCCGTTCTCTATCAATATTGCTGAATAATCACAACACAACTGTTGAGTGTCCAAAAGATTTATTGAAAAGTCAAATGTACATCTGTATGATACAAATCCTCTTTAACTTAAACTGTCCAGGAGTCTGTTGGTCACAAACATTTTTAAAAAACATCTTGCTGTTTCTTCTCCTTTTGGGTCGAATACGTCTTACAGAGCAGAACTTCTGCGTTCTAGCAAACTCCAATAAATAAATAAAGTGCTCCACAAACAGCTGGATTTCAGTCAGTTAATGATGATTACAGAAAACAAAATCCACATCGCAGAATATACATTTTATGCCAGCCTTTCTAAAAGAGACAGAGAGAGAGAAATCTAATTTATGCACTGCAAAGAATTTCAAGAGCACTTGAATTTAGTTATTTACAAAAGACAACATGCAACGTTTTGGGTCAAATTTAAAAATGAAATGGTCAAAACTGAGCTGGGAGGAGTTCTCTGAATAAAAACACTTTTTTCCTGATAGTTCTTGTGAAATTATAAGTGAGGCAGAGATGGCAGGATGCTCTTTAAAAATATTTTTCTAATTGGCACGTCCCTGTGAGGGCAGGGAGGTGGGAACAGAGCAAAGCAGCAGGAACCAACAAGATATTAACCAGATATCTGTGTGTTCTAGTTCCACCAGTAAAATTGGTTATTTGAAAGCCTACAGAAAGTGTTGCTTTAATAAGTTTTGACTGTAGTCACAAATTAACTGAGAATATCGGCGCTATTGTTGCGTGGGTCCTGGTTGCATCTGCTTCTGTGCTCCACAGCTCCACCTCCCTGCCGGCAGAGGTACTACACATACTGACTGATCAGCACAGAACAGAGAAGCCGCCTTTCGCATCCTCCCAGCACCTTGCAGTGGTGTTATTCACAGTCCCAACGCCAAGCTGTCCTCTCCATGAGCACCTTCAGGCCTCACACACCTGGTGCAGGTGAGGCCTGGGCTGCTAAAGGTGAGTGTTTGAGCCTAGGACCACTGGCAGGAGCAGTCGGTGGGCTCCTGGATGCTGTAGCTGACCCAGGTCGCGTTGCTGCTGCAGTAGAGCTGCACGGAGCGTCGCTGCAGCCCCGTCTCCCTGCAGCACTTACAGAAGCGAGCGTAGGTGTTGATGTTGTAATTGTAGATGCTGGCGGAGGGACACTTCCCGTCGCAGGACACGATGTTCACCTGCAGGAAGCAGGCGGAGACGTCGCCATGGATACAGAAAATTACTTTAGTGGAGTGGATAGTTAGTTAACTAAAACAAAATAACAAAAAAAGAAAACATTTTTGTTAATTGGAATAAATAAAAACTTTAATTAAAGGGGAAAAACTGGATGGATGGATTGATTGATTTTCCTGAGGGGAAAATGAAGGATCCACATATTTAAGGGGCATAAGTCATATTTTTTGGGGTCAAAAGATCGGAGTTGGGCCATTCAGACTGCGATTAAGTTATTTTTGGTCGTATTTCCTGTGTGAACGTAGCGTTAGCCGCTTAGCCTGTTAGCCTGCTAGCCAGTTAGCCTGCTAGCCTGTGGGACTAAAGCAGCAGATCCTCACCGGCCGGTTGCTGCGGCAGTCGTTCTTCCTGATCGTCATTCTCACCGTCACTTTCTGACACGACTTTCCGTCTTCTTTACCTGTTCAAAGTCAAACGAACAGAAATCTGTTGCAATAAAGATTAAAATAAAATCAGAAATTAAATCCTCACATTAAATAACACAGGAGAGGAGGATTGTGGGTAAGAAAAGGAGAAATGCAAAGCTTGATAACATTGGTTTCATAGTCAGATTGGAGGGAAAAAGAAGAAAAATTTTCAGAAGTAGAACTGATCTGTCATGCAGTTATACCACAAAAAAGATTTAAATGATTTGGATGCAATATAATCATATTTGACAATAATTTAGTCCATATTTAAATAAAAAAATAAAAAAACACCAACCCACACATGATGTACAACTCGAGATGCTTTGTGTGGCATTTTAGTTTGAAGGGATTTCAGTGACTTTTTCCTTCCAGACAATTTTCCATTGTTTTTAATGTTTTTTTTGTTTCTGTTTGACATAAATTAAACTTTATTAAACCTTCAATTACCTTGATTCATGTAAAGTTACGCCCAGATTTATTAACTTTGATCCAAATAATTTGTCTACATGCAGGAAGTGGGATAGTTTTCAAAATAAAAGGCCACACACAGTAGCTTTAGTTTCTCACAAGGTCTTTTTTCTTCCTTTAAACTTTAGCTTGATGATCTGAAACATAATTTGGGGGAAAAAAAACAAAAAAAAACAGAAGAAATTTTCCACCTTCATTCCCAAATTGTCACATACTTACTCGTCTTTTTCTCTGGATTTCTCTCAATGTGTTTCAATAAATCAGTTAAAACTCCAGATCATACAGATATTTCAAGACATTGAATAAAAAGGTAAACTTTGTTTTTTCTCACTGCCTGAAGTTAAATCAGAATAAACATTTTTTTTATTTTTGCTTAGTTGAAATTAACAAAATTATTTCTATTTGCTAAAAGCCAGAAAACATTTTCAAATTGTCCGTTTAAAAGACAGTTTTCCCTGATATTCACCAAATATATGGAAACTTTTACAAACAAAATTTCTAAAAAAAAAAATAAAATGTTCTCGCAAATAAAAATAATTTTAGTGATCCTGACTGACATAAAAGAAGAAAATTTTGTTCTGATTTGAGTTCAGACAGTGAGATAAATGTTTTTATTCAGCATTAAATGTAAATGTTTACAAATGAATCGCTACTTTTCAGATGTTTATATGCAGAACCAACCTGAAGTGGTGAAAACATGACGCAAAGAGAGTCAATGGATGTTAGATTTCTGTTTTTTAAAGGGGAACTGTGACATAAAATCAACTTTTTTTATCTTTACATCATCTTATAATGATATTCCCTCATAAAAAAACATACCTGGAGTGTTGATTTGATTCTTTCATGTATGTTTGAGAAACACTTTAATCTCCATGGCAACCATTCCATTAACCCCGCCTTCAGGGACAAAGCTCCTCCCCCTTTCTGCTCCTTCAGACAAGCTAGCACCAATTAGCAAACACCTGGTGGAACTGCTGAGCTCATTAGAGGAGCTGCTGCTCCGTGAAACGCTGGTAAAAACTTTAAAGGGTTAACAGAGGAGCCATGTTGGGATGACGCCGCTTCAGAAAGAGCAGGAGCTTTTTAAAGAGACAGAGGCCCAAGTTCAACACTTTAAATTAGGAAGTTAAAACTCTTTAAAGTCATATTGGATATATGTAGCAACTGATAATTGTACAAAGTGGCACTATATGTGTCATTTTTCATTTAAGCCATAAATTGAAACACTGTTGCTTTGTGAAGCAGCAGATCACAAAAAATTAATATTAAACTAAACCAAGTTTAATAGAAACAAAACAGAAACAGATCAAAAATTAGTGATGAAAAGAGGAGATAACTTATTTCTATTACTGTTATTGTAATTGCAATGTGGATCTACATGTTCATTGACATAGTTACTGACTATTAGTTAATGTTTATCTGAGGAAAATGTATTTCTGTTTGTTTTTTCCTTTAGGTCAGCAGTCTAAGACGACTTGTCCCACAGTTGGAACTAAACATGTTTAAAATGAAGGACAGCACAAATAAGATGTTAGTAAGATGTAAACTGGACAGGAATGGATCCGTGTATATGTCTGTATAAGAGTTACTGGAAAATAAGAGGCGATAAAACCATAAATACCAACATTAGTTACTAATTAAATAGTCTGTAAGACACAGAGCTGCATCTGCTGCCTTGAAAGGAACTGATTACAAACTTGTATGTGACAAGTTGGGTATGAAAACTGTTTCCCTGAAAAGAACCCAAACACCGAAACTCTGACTCTACGGAAACATGCAGACGTCTACAGGCCACTACCAACAGTACATTGTTGGCAATCAACAATGCACTGCCCAGACAGTGCTAATGGGGAGGGAGCTCATCTTTTAGGAGCTTGATGCTACATGTTTGTGTCCTCTCAAGTGTGAGTTCATTTTTTGTTGCCTACTATTTTAATTTCAAGTAAACTATCATTTTAAGAAATTAAACCCACAGTTGATTGGTTTTCTGAAGAGTAAATGTTGGATAAATTAGCCTAAAGAAATGAAGTGACAGATGAGAGGACGGTTCTGTAGGTTGCAGTTGCACTTTTTGGGCTCTCTTGTATCTTTTCTTATCTTTTTTTTCTTTTAAAGGGAGTACATTGTTGAATATCAACAATGGCACTAAGAAGCCTTGTTGTTGTGGTACCTTGTTCACAGTTTGTGTTAGTTGTGGGAGTCATTTGGTTAACTGGGAAGGGGAACAGATGAAATCCAGTACCTGGTGGGATCGGTACATGATGGTAAGGTGAAGCACACAAACCACAAACCCACTTCAACGTCATCAGATGCTTCTCAGTGACGGGTTTTACAGAAACTCACTGAGAAGCGTGGAAATCTGAACTAGCAGCAGACAGACGTATCTGAAAACAGCAGCTGGGATCCAGCTGTGAGCCAATCCAGGTGAGTCTTTTGGGTTTAACTGAAGTGCAAACGTGTTGTAGACGAGCTGAACGGCAGGTTCAGTGTCAGCTGCAGCCTACAGCGCTACGCTAACTACAAACTGCTGCTACGCTCAGATCAGATACTCACACGTCTTGCAGCATCCGTCCATGTAGCTAACGACGGTTCCTCCGATCTGAGAGGAGACGAGAGTCAGCAAACACATTACCATCATTTACCTCAGGGAAGCTTTTCTACAGCAGAGGCTCTAAAGTCATCTGACCTCTGCAGGTCAAGAGTTTTAACATCTTCAATGCTTCCAGATTAAAACGGTTCCTGTTATTATGAAAAGACTGAAACGATTTTCTGATAGGCCTCATATTCGTCCCACGTTAGGAAAACTGAACAACATGAATGATTTGGAATGTTTAACGTTAAAACAAAAAAAAAAAAACACGGTTCCCGAGTTTTCACGAGTTTCATGTTTACACATTTATTTTGTAATTTCATATATTTTAAACTATTTCACATGTACACATGTGATGCATGTGTTTCACATGTGTATCATATTTTATGTCACATGTGAGACATTAAATATGTGAAACATGTTTTATTTGTGTCTGATTTCACATGTGTATCATATAAAACGTGTATCACATATAAATGACATGTTGCACATGTTTTTTCACATGTAGTAGTTAGTTATTTGCTTATGTGTTTACTAAGTCAGCTGTTTACTTAGTTAACTATCTCACTTGTTCGTTTATTTACTGATTTAACTAGTTAGTTCATAGTTTTATTGTTTTTTACTTGTTAGTCATTAACTTACCTTGTTACTTAGTTGCTGCTGAGTTAGCTGCTTAGCTATTTGCTTAGTTATTCACTTACTTATTTACTAAGTTACTTAGTTACTTTATTGTGTTTCTATTTAGGTACCTATGTTCTTATCCATTTAGTAAAATACTTACATAATGAGCTGTTTCTGTAAGCTGCTCACATAGATATTTACTTTCTTAGTTATTTTCTTACCTCATCAATGATTTGTTTAGTTCAGCTAGTAGAGCTGGAGCTAGCAGCTAGTAACTGTTAAAACTGGACCTGTCAGCTGCCAGCCAGCAGGTCCAGTTTGATCAGCTGTGTGTTTCTGCTTCCCGCTGACCTTCATGCACTCCGTCTCATTGAAGGGGGGGCAGCTGTAAGAGTAGGAGATCAGGGTCGGTCCGAATGACGTGTCGGAGCAGTCGAACTTCTTGCAGTTTGACACCCAGGACCTTCCAGGCTGAAATCATCATCATCCTCAGGTTACCTCAACGTTACACAATTTGTTCTGATTTACAGGAAGCGAACTTCAGCAAACGCTGGACGCACAGCAAACTGCTAATTGTTATTGATGTATGCAGAGGTGGGTAGTAACTACTTACATTTACTTTTTTTTTAAATTACTTTTAAATGTATTTTTACTATGCTGAACAATTTCTGGGTACTCTGCCCACCTCCTTCCTTACACATCTAACCCTGATGCTAAACTGCTTTTCCAGTTTCCCTTTTTAAAAAAGAAATTAAAACATCTTAAAAAATTGATTATTGTTAAAAAGTTTAATCAAAGTTACAGGAAATATAGGATTGTAATATTTCACTCCATATGTAATTTATGAGTTTCTGTGCAAAATGAGGTACGAAAAACTTAAAATTTTCACAATAATCAAATTCTTTTAGATGCACCGACACACAATAAAAACTGTTCAGAAACTTATAATATATAATCAATGTCTCGTATAATAAAACCTGAAGCTTTTCCTACCTTATAGAGGCCGACCGTCCCGTTCTCGTGTTGATAGATGCAGGAGATGTTTTTACATTCGCCGCAGCAGGTTGACTGGTCCTTAGGAGGAACATAGATCTGATTCTAAAACACAAGAATTCAGGATAATTAAACCCAAGAAACAACTTCCTCTCAGTCACACAGCCGATGGGTTCCTGGTGTACCTCAGGAATGAGTCTTTGGTCCTTTCTGTTTTACAGTTACAGTTCGGTTTTCGCTTTAAGTTAGCCAGTAAACATTTCATATTGAGCCTCAATTTCACTGAGAAACATGTTTTCCATAATATACAAAGAAAATTCAGCTTTCTGTCCTAAATTCTCGCTGTTTTGTTGCTACTATGCCCACAAACTTGCCTACCAAAGTAGGATCCTATTTTGGTGCTAAAGTCAAAATTTCAAGACATTCCTTGCAATCAAAGAGAGAAAAGTGAGGAAAAATATCAGATATGCACTGCATTACTGTAAACATAAAGCTTCTGTTACTGCTAACCATAAAAACATTTACAAAACTTCAGCAAGTAAAATTTTACTGCCAATATCTTTAAAGTTATGAGAAATGTTACACTGCAGATACTGCATCTAATAAAATGTTATTGGCAATGTCCTGTAAGGCTTTTATAAATGTTAAACATGTTTATTCTTTCTTCATTGTTGACTACTTTGCTTACATTTTTCTAAAATTGGAAGACTCCATGTTGACACTGACTGAGAGAGACTTTTCTATGACTTTTCTGCAGATCATACACTGCAAAAACACAAAATCTTAGTATTTTTGGTCTAAATTTTAGTGTAAATATCTCAGTACACTTGAAATAAGAAAAACTAACTGACAAATAACTTAACCAAGTGCTTCTAATAATTAATATTGATGAAAAAGTTTCACTTGTAGATTATTTCACTTATGAGAAAAATGTCCGTGAAATAATCTGCAAATGAAACTAGAACTTTTCCATCAATATTAAGGAATTATTGGCTTAAAATAAAGATTCACTACAAGCAGCTTTATGTTGTAAATTGAGTCTAAAAAAGCTGCCAAAGCCTTTAAAACATTAATAACAAACGTTTAACTTTGTGTTTTGACACCTGGATGCATCCAGACAAAGTAATAAATTTCTGTTATTGATCACGTCTCACCGGGTGGCAGTGGGCCGAGCAGTTCACCGTGGAAATGCGCAGCAGGTAAAATCCACTCGCCGGGTCCAGAACCTGGCTGCAGTGGCGACTGTAACACAAACCGTCGTCTCCGTGCTCCACAAGCGTCTGGCCCGGCCGCAGCAGTCCGCGCTCGCCGAACACACACACGCCCTCGCGCACTGAACACACACACACACACACACAGAGAGAGACATGCACACACACACGGGTCACATTTTATGTGTAGATCTGCAAAAGCTGATTAAACTGGAAAAATTTTACATAAACAATCTGAGTTTATTTAAAATTTTTTGAAAAAAAAATTGATAAATTAAGAGAAAACTTTCCCTTAAAGTGATGAAATTAATTTAGCTGCAATAAACTGAATTCAAATGTGCTGTCATTAAAAATGCATTTTGTGTGAGGATAAATAAATGCTAATAAAATGAATTCAGTTTTTAAAAACTGAATTAAAGCTGAGCTCCAGCATGTTTGGTCAGCTGGTTTTACCACTGCATGCCCTCCAGCAGTGCAATGGCTGCTGGAGCACACAAGTGTTTTGTTATTGACTCACCATCCACTTTCTGCATTCTTGTTGGTTGTGCAGGAGGCTCCACATATGCTTTTCAAAGATGTATGGATGTATAATTGCGCGTCTGTTTTCAGCCATTTTTAAGGGCGACTGTAAATATTGTCACATTTTTCGATTTGTAGTTGCGTTTAGTGATTTGTTGATGTGTTTTGCACTTCAGGGCCACCGTACAGAACTAAGCAGACTAAAATCTGATTATATAAGAATTACTTTGTGGAAAAAATGTAATTAACATGTTTGGTTTCGCCCATAGATCCAAACTAACCTGTTAGTGTTAGTGGAATCAAACTGGGTAATGAGTTGTTTGGTGTGCAGAATCACAGCCTCAGTGTTTAGTCTGAGCAGAACTCACCACACTTGTATCTCTTGCAGGAGCATTGGTTCTGTGGGTCGGACAGGAAGGCCCGGTCAAGCTGTGCAGCTTCTCCCTGGGGGGGTGGGGGGCAGGGGAGGAAAGAGAGAGAGAGAGAGAGAGAGAGAGAGAGAGAGAGGCGACCTTTCATCCTGATTACTGTAAAAACAGAATATTGTTTCTCACAGGCAGGACTTACCAGGCTACATTTAGGAGAGACGATCTTTTCACAGCTGCAGACTGTAAACAGAAACAAGAGGAATAAAGATTATTTGGGTTTTCATTTTAACTCTGAAGCTGAACAGCAGCGTGTTGGGATCGTACCGCATGTTTGGTTGGGACAACAGAGATCTGGACTGGAAACGGACACGACCGACATCCCAACAGGACAGGTCAGCTGGGGACACCTGTAGGGCTCACACACTGCACACACACACACACACACACACACACACGCACACACACACATGCACACAAACACACACACACAGAGAGTGCTACTCAGAAAGTTTCACAAATTTGTCCAGAAATATAACAGAAGCTGCTGTTTTTATGTCCTAAATTTATTTCTACCACAGAATTATTTTCTGTCTCAATAAACTGTGTGGTTTCCTTCAGGGCTGAAGCGATTAATCAGATTAATCATGATTAATCAATTATTGAGATAACAATCTACTAATTTAACAATTGATTAATTACTAACTGTGGTGCACAGATTATAAAACACGCCATTTGTTGAAATGACAACATAAACAGACCAGTAATTAAGTCAAAGCTGTACAAAAATATGTACATTTTGCCTTTAAGATTAAAAAACACTTTATAAAAATGTTCATAACTCCTCAAGCAAAACTTTTATCTTCATCTCCTTCAAATTCTGTAAAAACAAACTAAAAATCTAATATTAAACACCTTTTTCTCTCCAACTATTAATTTGATTATCCAATAAATAATCAGCAAATCATCTCAGCACTATATTGATGTTGAGTCGGGCAGAAAGGTCAGACTTTTATAGCTGTTGTTGCTTTCTTTGCTTTCACTAAAGGAATGTTGTTGCAATTTAGCCAACAAAATGTTTATTTTCTTATTTAAAAAGTAATTGAATAATTTTTGACTTGCATCTTTTAATGTATATCTAATATTGTATTAAAAAGTCTTACATGGTTAAATGGAAAACCTGCAGAATGTCGCAAATGTTTTATATGATTAATCGATTAATCACCAGAAAATTTGATTGTTAAAATAACTGATATCTGAGGTCCTGGTTCCCACTTTCTTCTCAGTCATAGTTACTGCATTTGGATTTGTTTAGATTTATTTTGGTCCACTTTGTTAGAGAAACTAACTGTATTTCATTAATGTCGAAAAACCACAATTTTGTAGTTAAATAAGAAATGCAATTAAATTTACACATGAATAATTTTATTCACGTGATAAGTCAGTAAAAACATCATCCTCCTACTACTTCCTGTTGTCTCCTTTGTCGTTTCCGCCAGTAGCAACATCCGTTTATCACTTTTGATGCAAAAAAATGTTTCCATTGCAGTTTTTTTAAGTAACTAATTTTAAAAAACACCTCATCCAGGTCGGTGAGTGACTGTGTGTTTCCTCACCGCACTGGTAGGACGGGCAGCATCGGTCTGTGCTGTTGCTGTCGACGCTGAGCACCTCACCGTCCCGGCAGGAAGGAGGCCTCTCCACACAGGAAGAGCACACTGCAGGAGGAAAACCCGCCCAGAATCAACAAAATGAGGATTCAGAGGAGGAATAATCAGAAATGGAGGCTGGACTGACTGCAGATGTGGGCCAGGCAGCAGCTGCCGTCGGCCCTGGTGGCGACCGGCGTCTGGTCGTCTCTGCAGGCGGGAAGCTCAGACTCACAGCGCTCAGGATCGCACTCTGAAAAAACACAAAGAAGGTCAGAAACAGTTGCAGTGAGCGATTCTGGACGTTTACATCTGCAGTCAAGCCAAAAAGAAAGTTAAAAAGTAAAAAAATGTCAACTTTTGAAGCTAAAAGTTTCCATGCTTTTACTAGAAAAGTTGGAAGATTATAATCTAAATAGAATTTTTTTCACTAATTTTCAACTTTTGGAGCTCAGAAAGCTCCTTATTTTTTTCAAGATAATTTCTGAGATTAATCTAAAAAATGTTTGACATAAATTTACTCTTTTTTTTTATTATTTATAATGGCTGCCATTATAGTAAAATTGTTTAAATGTGTTTTGAATCATCTTCATTTAGCACCAGCGCTTATTTAGAGATCATTTTATCATCGTTATTTCTGCTCTACAGGCTAAAACTAAGGATAAACAAACACACAACTCAACAGAGAGGCTGGAAAGGAGAATAATGTTTTAATGTGTTTTTGTGACTGTTGCGGCTGTTTCCGGCACTTTTTCAAAAACTTGCTTTTTTAAGCTTTAGTTTTCAGTAACATGGTTTTACAAAAAACCTGAAATTGCTGCACATAACCTTCCCTTTGTTCAGGATTAGTCTCAAACTATCTAATTAACAGCTACTTTCTACCTACAGTGTCTCCAATAAGCCGTTAAATCGGTAAAAAAGGAAACTCACCACAGACGTAGTCCGGACAGCAGGACTCTGGTCTGAAGTACGACACCAGCTTTTCCCCATATTTACACTCAGGAGGGAAGCGATCGCACAGAGTCTGGTTACAAACTGCAGAACATGTCAAACACAGCATGATGCCTCACGGTTCTTTCAGTGATCAAAACGAGCTGAGCGAGCGTTTCGTTGGCTCACCGCAGACTTTGTGAGGGCAGCAGCTCGTGTCGTCAGACATGCTGATGATCATCTCCCCGGTTCTGTGGCAAACCGGCGCCGGCGCGCTGGAGCAGTCGTACTCCACGGGAACGATGGTGTCGTTGTCGCAGCGGTACATGCAGCAGCCGTCCTGCGAGGCCTTCCACACCTCGCCGTGCGACCGAGGAATGCCGCCGCTGTCGGTGCAGGCTGCAGACAAACAGAAGAAATCACATAGAACCCCGACAGGAGTCAATTTCAGACAAAATAAAGAGACTTTAACTGATTTAAATCCATTTAAAGGTGTCAACTGTCACAAATAACATGCAGTACGGATGGCTGACCCATTTTAATTTAGCTTTAATTGAACTTAGCACTACAAAAACACAATCTTTCAGATTCTTCCTAATCCTAATCCCACAGAAGAAGCAAAAACACTCACTTGTGTTTATGATTGTTTTGGACACCAGCTACACTGCAAAAGCACAAAATCTTACCAAGTACTTTTGTCAGGCTTCTTAGTGCAAATATTTTATTTCACTTGAAATAAGACAAAACTAACTTAAAAGTCACTTTTCAGTGACATATAGGAGCTTCTTGTAAGTCAATAAATCCTTAATATTGATGTAAATGTCGCAGACTATTTAACTTATATCAGGGCGAAAATGTCTTGTTGAGAAATAATCTGCCGGTGGAACTAGTGTGTTTATTGTTTTACTGTTTTTATGGTTTTTAATATTTTAAAGTATGGAGAAACAGGCTGTTTTGAATAAAGTTATATTAATTTTTATTGTTGTGAAAGTGTAAAGCTGACTCAGGTCACTGTAACCAGATCTACCTAATGGCATGAATAATGTTGATTGAGTTGTACTTTTTCATCAATATTAAGGATTTTATTTTACTTAAAACAAACTCTTATATTTTGTTGAAAAGTTACTTCTAAGTTACTGCTTCTTTATTAAGTGCACTAAGATATTGGCACTAGAAACTAGACACCACTTGGTAAGATTTGGTGTTTTTTCAGTGCAGGAGTCTTTATTTTTGTACATTTGCTGATGTTTCTAATCCTGTGCGTGTCAGAAGGAAGCGGTAAAGTTTTGTCCTTACCGCACTTCTCAAGGCTGATGCAGAGAGCCGAGTATGGCCGGTGGAGCAGCGTTCCCTCGGGGCAGACGCAGCCCTCCGTCAGGCCAGAGCAGTGGTCCGGATCGGAGTCAAAGTCGTGGTTGGGACAGGACTGAGATGTGCAGGCCGGCAGGCAGGCCTGGTAGCTCAGAGAGCCGGGACACACGAAGGCTGCAGGAAAGAAAATATCAGCGAATGAAGTCAGGATGCACCGCCATCTATTCATCTTAAAGCACTGAAAGACAAATATTTTCCCATAATCTATCTTCCTTTTTCAGATTTATCCCACCTTGTAAATACTTAAAGGGGACTTAATATGCAAATTGGGTCTCAACTGCTTCTAAAGACGGCCTGAGCACTTTGAAAAGTTTTTAGGCCATAAGCTAGTGTTTGTTAATGTCTGGAAATCAATTGTTTCAAAAACCTCTCAATTGTTGAGTCGCATTCCATCGGCAGTGACTCGTTACCTAGCAACCCCAGCTGAGCCCTGCCTTGTTACCTAGCAACCCAAATGGAACTCCAGCAACTTTGGTCAGCTGGCTTTAACCACTGTCTGCGCTGTAAACACTCCAAAAACACAAAATCTTACAGAGTATTTTTGGTCTAGATCCGACTTCAAACATCTTAGTAAACTTGAAATGAGACAAAACTAACTTAGAAGTAACTTTTCTGCAAGATACAGGAGCTTGTTTTGAGTCAATAATGTCTAAGTATTAATTAAAAAGTTCTAGTTCCACTGGTAAATTATCTCACAACATGGGGAAAAATGTCTTATTTTCAGAGAAATAATCTGCCAATGAAACTAGTATTTTTAGATATTTTAAATAATTATTTACTTAAAACAAGCTCCTATATATTTATTTGATAATAAGTTACTTCTAAGTTAGTTTTTTATTTTTTCAAGTGCACTAGAAAACTAGACACAAACACTTGGTAGGATGTTGTGCTTTTGCTTTACAATGGCTGCTGGAAAAGAAGTTTGTTTTGTTGTGGACTTAACATCCAGAAACCACTTGCTGTATTCTTGTTGGTTGTGCGGGAGGCTCCACTAATGCTTTTCAAACATGTGAGGCTGTGTAATTGCTCATCTGTTTGCACCTACTTTCACATGCGAGTGCCATAAAAACAGGAATCTTACGGCAGTAATCCGGCCTCCTCCACTCGATGCAGACACTGAATTTATGGCAGATTGCCACATAAGCAGCCAGAGCCACACAATGGTTGTTCACATACTCTGAATCTCTCACCCAAACCTCACAAAACGTGCTGGGCGGCACCTGGGGACGAAGAAGCAACGATCAAACTACATGCAGCATGAGAACTCAGAAAGACGGGAGCCTGTTGAGGAGTTTGACGTACAAACGCGTGGCACGGCGTGAAGGCGTTGTCCTCCAGCATGGCCAGGCAGTGGGAGCAGTCACTGGTGGAGCAGTTGTGTTCACGCCGACGGCTGTAGCTGACGTAGCTGGTGGTGTTGGGAACCTGCCAGCTGTCGATGAACAGAACCGGGTCCTGGCTTACGCCCAAAACCGAGCCATTGGGCAGAGTGAGGTCATTGGTCAGATCTCCATCGCAGAAACCTGAAGGGGTTAAATATTAAAAATACTCAAAATATTTCTGAACATGAAAAATGGAAATAAACAGACTTCAGTTCTGGCTAATGTTTTCCAGAGTTGGGTAGTATCTAGTTACTTTTACTCATTTACATTTTCTTTAGTAACTTTTTTTTTAATTGAGTACTTTTACTACGCTGTATGTTTTACTTTTACTTGAGTGATTTTATTTTGAAGTATTTCTACTCTTAGTTGAGTAAAATTTCTGGATTCTCTATTCACTAAATGAAAAATAAACATGTTTTAACCGAAAATTCACATGACACAGACACACACCTGCAGTTTCTATTAAAGTATCATCAGTTTTTTATTGAAAGAAACTGATTTTGAAAAAATATTTAATTGCCTGATTTCAGTTTTTTTGATTACTTGTATGAATTATTGTCATTTTGGTCTTTAGAACTCTAAGATTTCCACTTAAATTTATACTTTTGTCCGACTGATAATGTAATTTTTAAATATTACATGATTGATAGTTCGATCAGTTGATCAATACTCAGTACTAATCCTAACCCTACATGAATACAGTTTTGGGTTCTCTTCCACTTCTCACAACTATTCAAGAAAATATGTCTCCTTGCTTGGAGGGAAGGTAGAAACTTCTTCTCTTCTTACCACAGAGGCCCATGGTGGGGAGTTTGCTGCCCGCGTCGTCGGCGTCGATCACCATCATGCCGGTGCTGTGGTACCACTGCACCTTGAGCCCGGCTGGGCTGCGGATCAGGTACATGTTGCCCGTGTCGTAGATCTCAAAGCCGTACTTTTTAAAACGAGGCTTGGCGTAGCGCGAGTTCACAAAGAGCTGGTTAAAGATTGAAGAGTGCAATATGTCAAATATTTACGCAGTGCAGGACGTTGCAGTTTAAGGTAAGATGAGCAACTTACTCTCCTCTGCAGTCTGTCGACGACAACCTGGTTGGATTTGTGTGTAATGTTGAGTGAAACCAGACACAAGTTGGTGAAATTCCAGAGGAGCTTTAGAAAGAATAAGGAAAATATTAATGAGGCTTTGGCTGCATCACACAGCAGGTAAATACGACAGAAATCAGGTTTTTTCCACTGTGACGCTTCCATATGTGGTGCTAATGAACGGTCATGTCCCATTTTATCCACTGAAAGCATTAAATAAGGATTTAAAGAATGACTAAGAATTATAATTACGAAATTGTGAAAGAAATCTGTCACTGATCCCAACACTCCAGACTCCGACTCTTCATCCAAACACATTTATCTACAGAAATTAAAGTCAAAGATCCTCAAAAAGCTGCTAATTGTGCTTTTTTCAGCTTCCTTCGTGTCGATGTGATCTTGTGATGATACAGTCAGCTCTCATTGCTCAACAGACTTCAAAAACTTTAAAACACTGTAAAAACACCAAATTTTACCAAGTATTTTTGGTTTAGTTTCTACTGCAAATATCTCATTATACTTGAAATAAAACAAAACTAACTTACAAGTAACTACTCAGCAAGAAATAGGAGCTTGTTTTAACTAAATAACTTGAATATAAATAAAAAGTTCTAGTTTCACTGACAGATTATTTTAGGCGAAAAATTGGAAAAATGTCTTGTTAAAAGTGTAATAATCTCCCACAGAACTAGAACTTTTTCATCAATATTAAAGGATTATTTACTTAAAGCGAGCTCCTATATCATTAAGAAAAGCTACGTAGTAAGTTAGTTTTGTCTTACTTCAGGTTTGCTAAGATATTTGGGCTGTAAATTAGAAGAATCTCTTGCTAAGGTTTTGTTTTGCAGTGTAAAAAAGCAGCGTCCATTATTACTGCTGCTGTGCGACATCAACGTTCTTCTTTGCTTTGGGGTCATAAATTGTTCATGCAGAGATCAGATTGTTGAGTCTAATTATAGTAGTATGAACAATCAACCGGATTCCAGCCAAAAAGTCAGAACTGAGCATCAACACCTGCTGCCTGACGGTGGATTTGTGACGGTGCTCACCGGTCGGTCAGAGTCCGCCGGACATTCCTGAATCAGGACACTCAGGGTCTCGTTGGGAAGCTGGGCAACGATGTACGAGGCAGCTTTGAAAATGGCAAAGCTGTCCCCATCAAAAGTGATCACATTCAGATCGGGGAACATCGAGCAGCGACCTACGACATAAAACAATAAAATATGAGGGGAACTCCTCCTGAAGCACACGACTTAATAAGAAATGATCAAAACCTCTGGATAATTCTGTTTCCTCACATGGACAATCCCATTTCGGGCAGCACTTGTCTCCGTTGACCAGAACAGCAAAGCCAAGCAGGCCGCAGTTTGGAGGCTCAGCTGTGAAGGGGCAGCTCTGGGATTTGTTGAACAGGATCAGTTGGTTGTTGACACAGATGTACTTTGTGCATTCGTCGACTATCTCGGCATACGGAGGCTGAAAAAATTTTTAAAAATTGGAGAGATGCTTGTAAACAGGAAAACCAGTGAACAGAGTTATTCTTCCATAACCTTTTGTCTGAAATATGAACAGGAGACTCATAAGTCTGAGGTTGTTTCCACAAATGATAGTCTGATAGACTCGGTTCAATCGGAGACCACTGTTGCAACATTTGTTACATTTTCAGCTGCTGTGGTTTGCTATCACACTGCAATGCCCCTCCTCAACTGCAGGGGTGCTCTATTAATGCCCTGCGCTAAACGTCACAAGATCCCGCCCACATCTCCCTGCTGGAAGGCAAAAAACTGGCCTACGATGACTAGCATTGGGTTTAGCTGTTAAGTTATGAATATAATCCACTAAATCTTAAATGTACGCGTGATATTTATAAAAGAAAAAGGTATCCAGTGCTTTGCTACCAATTGTCAACATCACCACAACAAGACTATAAGGTCAGGAAAAAGTTGAATAAAGAAAGAATATATATCGGGAGAGGGAAGTAGCTCAGTTATGCTAGCTTGACTTCGACCAACCTTGACGTGGGATTCTGTGTTTTTAGGTTCAGTTAAAAAACACAAAAAAAGAGCGACCATCATGTGGGAAATGTTTGAGTGGTTTTTGGAGTTTAATCCTAAAACATAAAGTGATGCTGTTGTCAGTTGCTATGGTAACGATTCTATGCATAGAGATTGAAAGAAGAAGAAAGCGAATGGTTTTGAGCTATTCTTCAATGGCTTTTCTGTGTTATTTTTCCCTTTGTTGTGGCATACTGCACTAAGTTAGTAAAACCTACATCTCCAGGTTTCTTTGACAGGATCGTTGCTTGGATTAAAGCAGACTAAACAGGGTTGGTGTGAACGCTCCCTTGGTGAACTTACGGTGCACGTCCTTACAGGAGTTTCTGACATTGACGTTAATCGCTGAACTGAAGAACTCGTTGGTGCAGCCGCTGTGCGAGGAGAACTCGAAGCTGTTGTCGATCCTGGACTTGTAGAAATGTTTTGGAAAGCGGTGGTGGATTCTTGATGCGTTGTAGTTGGAACTGGAATACCAGGCTCCTGGGTTGAGACAAAGACATCAGGTCGGGACGGAGATGTTGTTGTTTCAGCTTCTTTGGTTGTGGTTGACTCTCTGGTGAAGGCGGCTGCAGATGATGGTGAAGCCACTGGAGCTGCTGTTGTGGTCAAACGGGAAATTGCTGCCGATGTGGCAACATGACCAACCCTGCTTGCTGTTGTTGCAATGGTTGGAGATGTAGTAGCCGGTGAGCCAACCACGGTTGATGTGGTAGTGGTAGCTGAAGGTCTTGTTGCAACAGTGACCCTTGCGGTGATCGGCCTGACTGCGGGCGATGTGGCTCTGGAAGTAACTCTAGATGTTGCAGGAAGTCTGGGTGTTGCTGAAAGGGTGGATGTCCTCACAGCGGTGGGTGTGGCTCTTGAAGAGGACACCAGTCGGGTCGTGACCTTCTCCAGGACCGTAGATACCTCTGGAGCTGTTGTAGAGGTTGTTGTGTGGAGCGAATGCAAGGACGGAGAAGACATGCTTGTAGTTGTAGTTGACACTCTGGTCATAACTGGTTTTGAAGTCTCTATGATTGGCTTAAGAGTGGTGTGAAGACTGGAGGGTCTCGGTCCTCTAGTGATGGAGGTGAAGAGGGCGACAGGTGGAGTAATCAGCTTCCTGGTAGTTGTGGCTCCGCTTTCTGGAGCCGATGTTTCTGTGGTGGTGGTAGAGGCTGCAGAGGTAGATGCTGTCCTAGATGTTACTGGAAGAGGAGGAACTTCAGGAGATTTAGCAGACATGGTAGGAGATTCAGAGGGCAGCCCAGGTGTTGTCTCCATTGGCGGCCGGTAGGTGGTAGTGGAAGTGGAGGTGACCTCCCAGTGAGGGGGATACCGAGGCTCAGAGGTTCGCTCAGTGTGCAGAGGATGGGTGGTGCTCTGTGTGGTTGGAGATTGTTGTAAAGTAGTGATTCCTGTTGAGGGTTTTGTGGTGAACTGAACATCTGTGGACATTGTGGATGTTTCTGGGACGACAAGGGGTCTTGAAGTTAGCTTGCTGGAGGTGGTTTTCCCCGTTACTGGAGCAGCAGCGGACCAGGAAGTCTTATCCGAATAGGCAGCTGACATGTACCAAGAAGGAGCGGTGCTGCCTGTCATCTCAGCAGGTCTGGGTGAGGCTGTTGTTGTAGAGACTGTAGAGATTTCAGATGCTGTGACTTTCTTTAAGGTTGATGTTTGCCACCTTGTAGTAGCTGAAGTGAAGGCAGACGGTGGAGTTGTAGAGGGTTTAACATGGTAGACAGTCGTGGATGACACAGAAACAGTTGAAGAAGTTGTATGATCAGTAGGAATGATGTGCAAGGTCCTTTCTGTGGTTCCAGTTTGTATTGCCTTACTGGTAGTGAAAGAGCTGACTGGTTGGAATGGTTCTGTCGATGCTGTTGACGAATATCCAATTCCTGCTTCTTTAGTGGGCGAGGTGGGAACAGGAGAAGCTGTTGTAGAGCTTGTGGTTGGTAGTTCTGGCAGGATAAATGGTGCTGTTGTCATTCCCTCTACTGGTGCAGCTTTATAGGAGGTAGTCGCTGTACTGGAGACAGTGGTTCTGCCTCTTACTGCAGATGTTCCTGAGACTCGGGGAGAAACTGAACTCAAAGTTGTTTGAGTAACTGCTGAACCTGAGCTTTCTGACGCGTCTTTATGTGGAGGGCCAACCGTGGAGGTTCTGATTGTGGCCGGCCTCCCAGCAGACACTGTAGTGATGGTGAGCGGGGAGTACTGGGAGTCGGTCGGTTTAGTGGAGGAGGAGCCAAAATGACCAGTGGTTGTTCTGGACGTGGTGGGGCTGAATGAGCTCAGCCTGGTCATCCACCTTGTTGCAGCTGATGAAGGAGTTTCAGTTACTCTGACTGTGGAAGCTGCCTCCACTTCCTCTGGCCTGACAGCAGAGGGTGCCGTTGGCCCAGACAGAGTTCTGGACGGCTCAGGAGTTGCAGATGTAACTACAGTTTCCGGGCGGGCCGGCTCATCAGGGGCAGCTGTGAATGAGGTGGAGTATTTGCTCCCGGTAGTAGCACTGGGAGCAGCGCTGGTGGGGATTTTCACAGCGTGGGGTGTGTGTGGAGCTGTGGACGATGTGGTGACATCATAACGTTCAGCTGCTGTGGACGGCGACGCAGGAGCCACTGAATCTGGGAGCCGAATGCCTGAAATCACATGAACACAAGTGTCAGAAAGGCAATAAGGTTTACAAAAACAAAATGTTCATCTAAATGTATAATTTTCCTGAAAATTGAGTATTGTGAAAATCTTTCATTTTAGTTTTAGTGTTTTTATCCTTCCTATGCGGTAAATTTGACATAAATCCACTGGACAGAATAATAAATATATTTTTTCTGAAATATATTAAACATAAATATTTTATCACTGCCCCTTTTTGTTCTTATTCGGTTTTTTAATGCTATTTATTTTCAAAGTGATTGACTTGATCTTGGCGTTTGTCCGTGGGCTGAAATGAATACGAGCCACGCAAAATTAAAAATATAATTAAAAGTGAGTAAATTACCAACACTGAGTAAAAACATGTTGAAGTGATGCTGCTCTTACTCTGGTAAAGTTTCTCCTGCTCTACCACGTCTGTTCTCCAGACTAAGTGTCGGTGAAGCAGACTTTGAGCTACTTACAGTCTTCAACATGAACGCATCGACGGGTGATTTCATCCAGGACCGTGTTTGGGGGGCAGACAGGAAGGCAGCCCTCTACTCTGCACAGGAAACACATTCACAAAATAAAAGCCTCAACATGTCGGCTCCCATTAAACTGATCGTTTCACATCGTGTCAGAAACAGGTGAAGGTCAAAGGTCTGACTGTGGGATGGTGACGCAGGAGTCGGCGGAGGGGTCGCTGCAGGTCCTGAAGCAGGGGCTGATGCAGGAGTCGTACCTCCACTGGCAGCGAGGACCCGGAGGGGTGTCTGGGCTGGGGCCTGAGCAAAAAACACACTTAAATAAACAAATTACCACTAAAGATTACTTCCTCTCATTAACATGGCCACCAGGTGGCGCTGTGAAGGCCTAAGAAAGAAGGAGGGAAATTAAAAAAAGATGCAAAATTAAAAATAAATTGAAACCCACCATTTTTTTATCTTAAAATTTTCATCATAATTTTTTGTTTTCCATTATTCAATCATATTTTAAAATAAAACAAAAATTAAAATAACTTATTTAAATGTTATTTCTGATGCTAATTTTCTGATTGGCTACCAGCAAATTTATTAAGATGATTTGATCCTCAGGTTAGTGAAACTAGCGAAGAAGGGAAACGTTTCTGGAAAAAAACAAAAAAAACACACACACACACACACACAAGAAAATGTTGACATAAAATAAAATTTGATTCAATTAATATAAAATATTACATATTTCCTTATAATCAGAACAGCGGATTGTGATGAGAAATTGTGTAACGAAGTCTTAAAATATTATTTGGTCATAATATGTTAAAATAAAATCCAAACTCAGGCTGAATTTATGCTAAATGAAAATAATAATTATTAAACAATGAATGAAACACTCCTGTGTCTAAATTCATATTTCTGGAATCTATCAGGTGTTTAGGAGATATGTGTTTAGAATAACTCATGAATTTAACAGGAAGTGAATAATTTTTACTCTTTTTAGTCGGAATTACCATCTTCTATCTTATTACCCCAGTTTTTATACACAATTAAAGTAGTTTTAAAGTGACGACCAAGTGTATTTTTTCTCCAGCTTTCGGTGTAAAATATTACATTAGCAACACAAAAAGTGGCTCTTTGTTTGCTACTTCAGCATATTTTTACTGAAGGAAAAGTAAAAACTACAGCATAGTACAAATACTCCTACTTTTAAAAAAAAAAAAGTTACTGAGTAAATGTAACTAGTTGCTAATAAACTGGTTATTTCTGTGATGTGTTTGTTTTATGTTTGAATCGTGTGAAAACGCTGCTGTGTTGTGATTCTTTTTGTGACTCTGACCCGTCAGTCTGAACAGCGACGCCTTGCGGAAACCGTAGCTGTGTCTGAACTTGAGCAGGTGGAGGCGTGGCGGCGTGGCGTGCAGGAAGAAGCCGGGTTTGGCGTGCGACTCCAGCGAGTCGTAGCCCGAGATCCAGGTGTTCCTGTGGAGGACGAAGGTGGCTCCGTCCCAGAATGCATCACTTCCCTCCCACTTGGCCAGCCTCACCTGGCCGCTGGCGCTCGCGTGCAGGAAGTAGTTCGGTCTGTCGACGGCTTCAAAGGAAACCCGCGATGCATCTGTGGAGAGGAAAAAATAACTATTCACCGCTTTTGTTTCTAATGGTTTTGGACACCGCCTACACTGCAAAAACAGAAAATATGACTTCAAAGCACTTAAAAAAACACCTACCTGTTTTTTGGCAATAAGCTAATGTTTGTTAATATGCCTGGAAAAGGAGCTGTTTCAAAAACCTCCCAATTCCAGGGGCAGTGCCCCGTTACCTAGCAACCCCAGCCCTGTTACCTAGCAACCCAAATGGAATTCAAATTCGGTCAGCTGGTTTTAACCACTGTAGGCACTGTACACACCCCAAAAACACAAAGTCTTAGAGTATTTTTGCCTAATTTCTAGTACAAATATCTTAGCACACATGAAATTAGAAAAAAACTAAAAACTTTTTCGCCAGATACAGCAGCTTGTTTTACGTAAATAAATCTTTAATATTGGTGGGAAAAAGTACTACTTCCATTGGCAGAATGTTTTCACATATAACATGGGAAAAAATATATAATTTAAAAACTCTGCTAATGGAACTGTTTTTTTTTTATAAAAAAAAAAAAAATTTAAGGAATTACTTAAAAAAATCTCCTATTTCTTGCTGAAAAGTTACTTGAAAGTNANTTTTTTTCTTATTTCAAGTGAAGTAAGATATTTACACTAGAAACTAGACCAAGTAAGATTTTGTGTTTTTGCAGTGCAGCTCCTTTAAAATGTGTAATATCAGTTATATTTTAAGAGATTGTTATGGTTTTTAAGTAATAGAGCAACTTACTCTAATTTAAAAATATACTCCTCCAATTCAAATGACATAAACAAAAACAAAAGTAATCCTGAACACTGAAATTTGTGAAAGTTATTTTAAGGTAATCAGCGTTGAACAAACATAAATATATAAGCGTCAAACTGGTTGAAATGAGTGTTTGAAGGAACCAGCAGGAGCTGGAGCAGCTTGTTGCAGGTTTGGCCGGCTGTCAAGCCTGCAGCTTGAGTTGCTATATGAGTGTTTGCCAATCTGATCTCTGAACCCTTTTACAATGAGTCCATCGCCTTCGTCGGTGTTTTCACAGGAGAGCTCAGATCAACAGCAAAGGAAACGGCAGGAGTGAAGCCTGGCTGGCTGTCAAACGGCTGCACACCGAATCTGATTCACAGAGAAGTTTAACAGTTTACAAACAGACTCAGGGTTTTTAGCATAGAAAAATGGGCTTTTCAATGGAGTTTATTCTACCTAACATCTTAATATGTACAACCTGAAATGAAAATATTAGTCTCTTAACTCACTCTTTGTTGTTTTCTTTGTGAATGGCCTCAACAACATAAATTAACAAGTCTACTTGGGGCGTTTTGAGTTACTGGCCTTTTCTGAAAGAGTGGATTTTAATCTTCCCAGTGATGTCAAACACATGGAAATCAAAAAATAACTTTTTAATTTACTATAAATGTTGTGTAAATTAACATTTTAGGGCTATTTATAATTTAGAAGCACAGTAAAAGAGAAATAGACCTGATTTTTATTTCTGCTTTGGCAGAAATAAAAATCATTATCCACTCATTTCTATCAGTTGTATTTATCTGTTGTGTTTAATCATTTTTAATTAAATAAAAATAACAATAGCTGTTGACATGCGAGCAGAGCATCATAAACAAGCAAAGTCGTAACAAACAAATAACAGTTCTTACCAACTGAGACTCGTTTTTTATTCACAAATGTAAATTCAACAGAAAGATTCTTTGTTTTGTGACTTCAATTTATGTAAATGATGTTGTAATAACCCCTGGCTGATGTCATTAATACTTTTACATGGTATACTGTTTTTATATACTTGTTGTACCTTTTTTAATAATAAAAAAGAAAAAACAGCTAAAATTTTCTTCTTTTCCTTCAATTAAAATAGCAAAAATGTGACTTTTACCTACAGGACAATAAATAAAACATGTAATATTTTACATTTGCCTTAATCTTTAACATTATTTAATCTTTTGGGTTTATTATTTTCCTTTTTTTAAGTCTTTAAATGTTTTTAGTTTATTCCTAGAACCAAAAATGAGAATTTTCTTTTACAATCTTTGCTGTATTTAGTGTGTTTTTGAGCAGAAACAACTTATGAAATAAAAAGCCTACCAAAAGAAAATTGGTGTTATACTTAACATTTTCCGTTTAAGAAGATATAAACTTAACATGGAAAATTCCCGTCCTGAAAAAATGACAAAAAGTCTCAGATGGCCAAATCTTTGCTATCCTTGAATTCTGGTTGGGGGCCACACAAAATTAATCAAAGGGCCACAACTGGCCCTTGGGCCACACTTTGGACCTCCCTGATTTAGAGATTCTAAATCTAAACAAATATGAACCCACCGTGTGGCCGAGCTCTGCTGAGGCCCGGCGTCATCATGAACTCTGAGAGGATCCCAGGAGCGGCGCTGGCGCTGGTGTTGACCCGCTGCAGGAACACGAAGCCGCTGGACCGGCTGGCTGCCAGCAGAGACGTCTGATCCCAGAAGGTCCAGAGCCTGAGCGGACCTTTACCCAGAACTGCAGGGAGGAGGCACCAATTTTACAAGAAACCCAACATGTCTGAAATCCACAGAGGTTTTTGACTATTTTATGCATTATTGTGTTTCCGTAGTCTCTAAGAGTTTGCAGCTTCACTTATTTGCAGCTTCACTTATTTTTGTTCAGAAACATGAAAATGTCTTTCATAGCTCAAAGTCGTCTTCCTTCAGATAAATAAATCAAAACATCAACAAAACTCTTTATCAAAAACTGGGGAAACATGAAAACAACTATTCCTCAGTTCAGACAGCATGAAAAAAGTAAAGAGAAATTAGCTCAGGTTTCTGTTTTATTATGGGAATTAGTTTTTAGGAAAACAAAACTGACGAAGTAATAAAGATAAAGTCAGCATATGAAGGAAAGTTTTTTTTTTTACCTTTGTTGTAGAATTCACAGTCATATGCTGCAGAAAAGAAAAAGAAACGGGATTAAAAAAACGTCTTATAATAATCTTGCAATATGTCATATTGTTGTTAATTGTACAACGATTGTGCATTAGGGCCAACGTCCTACAAAAAAGAAGTTAATTTGTGAGAAAATTCCAAGATTAATCTCAGAAATTTCCAATTTTTTCCCTTGAAAGATTTTTAGATTAATCCCAGAATTTCTCTTTTTTGTCTTGAAAATTTACTCCTATTTCCCCCATCTATAATTGCCCTAATACACCATCGTAAGTATATCTATCTATCGAATAATTTGGCAGCAAATAAGGTTTTTGAATTGAAAATGTTACTTATTTTGTCCATATGTGGTTTTCAATTAAAATGCAATTACCATGAAATGAACTCGATTAAAAATTTCAATTGAGGTTCATCAGGAATTATTATGTTATGGATCAGATTCAAATGTCAAATTTAAGGAACAAAACTGGAGAAAATCCTTGAAAGAACTTCAGGAAAAAAAACTCTGGCTGCTTAGAAAAAAGAAATGACATCAGACATCTGTTGGGTAAAAGAAAGAAACGATCAATCTGGGAGGTTTTTCCTTACGGCAGAGAGACGGCGAGCGCCAGTCGATAGGAACGCCCTCATGGCAGCAGCGCCCTGCGTACGCTGCCACGCTGGTGCAGAAACACTCACAGTCGCCGCCGCGGCTGCAGGCGCATGTGTCAGCGAGGCAGTTCATGTAGAACCAGGTGACATCCACCTGAGCACACATAACAGGCTTCAGGGAGTGAAAAATCCTTTTTTTTATTTTCATGTCAATTATTTGGAATATTTTTAAAACTTTCATGTTGTATAGATTCATTACACACAAAGTGAAACATTTCAGGGGTTTAATTTGATTATGGCTTTAATAAAACAAGATTCAGTTACTCATAATAATAAAATCTTATTTAAGCAATGATCATCGTATTAGTGCCGTTGTAGACAGAAAAAAGTAAATTGTCGCCAAAAAACAGATAAATTTTGAGACTTATCTCTGAAATTTTCTATAAAAAATGGGAACTTTCTTAGTTTGAAAAGTTAAAAAAAATTTTAATAAAAAAATTGAAATTTTGAGATTAAGCTCGGAAATTTTATAGAAAAAACAAAGAAATGTCTGGGTTTAAAAAGCTGAAAATTTGAGATTAATCTCAGAAATTTCCAAGATTTTTCTAGGAAATTTCTTATTTCAAAAAGTAGAAAATTGAATCATAAAATCCCAGAAAATTTGAGATTAAGTTCTAAATTTCTTAGTTCGAAAAGTTGAAAATTTACTTGAAAAAAACTCAGAAGAAAGTTAAAAGTTGAAAAATTTTGCCTTTTAAAACTCAGAAATGTTTGTGTGTTTTCTTGCACATTTTTCACTTTTGGCGCCCAGAAATTTTCAAGTTTTTTCTAGAAAATTTCTGAGATTAACCTTGAAGTTAAATAAGAGTTGTCTAGTAAAAAATGCACTTTTTTTTCTGCCTACAATGATCCTAAAACCCTGTCATACAAGGAGATCTTGATCTTAATTGGGTTTGAACCTGGTTGCATACAGGAAGATAAATGAGTAAAACAGAGATCTGTTGTAGCGCCACTCCTCACCACCGGGTGGCAGGTCTGGAAGACTTCACTGAGCAGGACGCCACACTGACGCTTTGCAAAGGGCTCCCTGAGAGGACTGAGGCTGCAAGGATGTCTGATGTCTGGACTGTTCACACACTGAACACACAAACACACACAGAAAATTCAAGCCTTATAGATTTATTATAGGAAAATTAAGACAAACTATCACAATATTACAAGAATAAAGTCTTATGGAAAAAACTTGTATCAGAATAAAGTCATAATATTACAACTTTACTCTCATAATACTATGACTTCATTCTCATATTATTACAACTTTATTATGAGAATAAAGTTGTAATAATACAAAAATAAAGCCATAATAATATGAGAATACATTCATAAGAGAATAAAGCCTTAATATTTGGACTTTACTCTTATATGACGTTTTTTATATTAATTTATTCTGATCATTTTATTTATGTATTTATTTTTTCAGTATGGCCCTAATACTCCATCGTAGGAAATACTCACACAGTTTTATCTTAAATGAAATGTTGCAGTTAATTGTTAAAACATGCAGCTAGAAGAGATGAAATAACCAGTTTTATTTTTCTCTACAGTGAAATATAAATTATTTGCAGGACGCTCCGCTCACCTCCATGGCCGTCCAGCTGTTTCCAAACTCCTGCGGCGTCGGCAAGTCGATGTTGTCAGGCGTCCGCATTTCGTTGATCGTCTTCAGGTCAAAGTTCCCACACAGGCCGCTGAGTTTCCCCTGGACACGTTGCGTTATCTCACTTTGCTCTGACCACTCATCGTCATGCATGATGAGCAGAGTAAAAACAGAGTCCTACCTGCCAGCGGGGGCCAACCTGGACGTGAACCGTTGTCTTCCGGTCCCACAGCACCGTCACGTCTTCTTCTGGGAAGTGAATTATTGTGAAATATCCAGCTGGCCAGATGAACATCTGCTGCTTCCTGTCGATCACACTAGACGGATTCTGCATGGGATTTGGGTTCCAGTTACCTTCTTGATTCATACAGGAAATGTTTAAAACACAAAGATGGCGCTTACTGGTTTTCCAGAATCGTCGTCGAAGGATATGAAGGATCCGCGGATGTTGATCAGAAGGGACTTCCTGCAGATGATTCCACTGTCGAAGCAGTCGACGTTCTCCACCAAAACGCTCAGCATCACATCAGCGCTGCTCTGTGGATGACAGGACACAAACGTAAACTGTGTTCCCCCCTCCAGCAGACTGGGAACCAGTTCACCCTCAGAGTCCAGCAGACTGGGAACCAAAATGGCAGCATCTGTTTCAATTCAGCTGCTGTGGTGCAAAAATCAGTTACAAACCTCTACATTTAAAGAGGAAGTATTATGCTAAATTCACATTTTGCATGTTCTTGTACTTCAAATCGAGTTTCTACTGCTGCTACAAACAACCTAAGCACTAAAAAAAACTTTCAGACAATTTTAGGCAATAAGTTCATGTTTTTTGGTGTTAGCTGTTCAAAATGTAACGTCACAAATCGTCAGGCACTGCGCCGTTACCTAGCAACCCCAGCAAAGCCCAGCCCGTTACCTAGCAACCCTAGAAAAGCGCAGCCCATTACCTAGCAACCCCAGCTAAGCCCAGCCCGTTACCTAGCAACCCCAGCTAAGCTCCAGCACGCTTGGTCAGCTGGTTTTACCGTTTTATATGCTGTACAATGGATGCTGGAAAACACAAGTGTTTTGTTGCTGACTTACCATCCAGAAATCAGTTGCTGCATTCTGATTGTGTAAAGAATGTAATGAACATGTTTTGTTTTGCCTATAGACCTATCCTAACCTGTTTATGGAAGCAGAAAAGTTTACCTTTAAACAGATGTAGAAATGATTAGGTACCTTAACAAGATAGACCTTGCAGGCCCCGACGTAGTCAAACAGCAGTCCGTCGAACGTCCTGTAGTGGCGGTCACCGTAAGTCGTGCACATGGACGGACACGGACGAAACACACACTGGAACATCCCGTGTTGGCAAACGCTACAAGGAAAGAAAAGCTTCAGTGGTTTAGCGTCAACTTGTTCCCACTTACTGCAGGAACCGCTTTTCACCTCTAACCGTCTCCATTTGTGAAGAGCCTTTGGTTTACCAAAGGCAGAAAAGTGCTGGTAAATTGGCCAATTGTGCCATTAAGCTGTCATCTACATCATCTTCCCTGGCTGTAACTTGAAGGAGAAGGACGGGAGAATAACAGAGATCACTGGGAGGTTTCTTTCACCAGCCAGGGTCGGTTTGAAGCAGATGGAATCAGAGACATGTACAAGGGCCTGCTCTGTTTCCAAGGCCTATTCTCTGGCTCCTGATAACAGAGAATTACACATATCAGATGGCAACTTTTGCTCCTCTGACAACCTCACAACTCTGTGGTGTCAGGCTAAACGTTGCAGTAGAACATTGTTGGAGATTTGTCTTCATTCTGAGGTAATTCTTAACTTTTTGATAAGAAACTTTGAGATAATCTTGTCATATACTTCAAACGTGTGAACGTACCACTGGTAGCAGGGGGAGGAAACTCGGTCGCCAGGGAAATATTCTTTCCCTTTCCACAAACAGGGGCAGGCATCAGGCTCAAAGCACTCATCCCCATGTTTCAGTAACCTGGGGAGGGGAAATATGAGGTCAGGACTTCCTGTTTTAAAACAAATCAAACAGAAATTATGCTCAAGGTGCAACTGAGAGATTGTGTATGTCAGGTGACGTAGGCAGGGTTCCCACCGTGTTTTTGTGTTAAAAAATGTTAAAAATTACAAAATCTGTTCTGTCTGTTCAGTCACCTGTAGCACTGGATAACAGGAACATCAAGTTAAACGAGTACTTTTGGACTTCCTTTACCAGAAATACCGCAACCAGCTCAACCAAGAAACTAAGTGCTCCCCCAAAGAGAGCCACAAGTTAAAGTCTCTCTATTGACAGCAGGATCTGGACCAGTCTCTTCTACCGCAAATGGAAAATCTCCAAAAACCTCCTACAATGACTCTTTGAAACATGGCAGAGTGATGATACCATTCTGCACTCATTTGGGATATGCTAGGCATCGACCCTGTTCCTAAGGACGAACCTTAGTACTTATAATCCCATTCTTTCCATCACCACAGCTCATGGTGAGGAATGTCTTTGCCTCTCAGACACCCATCCCTCTATCCACCCTATAAATCTCTCCTTCTCTGAATGACAGTAGCTCATTCCCAGCACTTCACCTGCTGGTTCCAACCTTCATCCTGGTTGTTTCTTTTGGCTTTAAACAGCTTCAGTCCTTCCAGGTAAAGTGACACAAACAGAACCACATCATCTGCAAACCGAAGCAGTAGAGGCTGGTTCTCCCAAACAAGATATTCTGTATAAAATGGCCAAAAAAGGGCAACACTGAGTCCAATTCTAACTGGAATAAAGTCTGTGCCTTTATTCCCGCTGGAATGAATGACCCTTCATAGGAAGGTCCTAAATTACCACCAAGGATTAGATCAGTAAATAAATCTTCTGGAGTTTGTTCCTGGTTCCTCTTGGACTCTGGCAGAGATCTCCCTGGTCACCAATCCTGTTAGTGGTGTTATGGGCTGGACTTCAAGGGGTGTTTATGTGGAGAAGGCTGGCTGGTTTTGGAAGGTCTGAGGCTTTGCTTTTTTTCTACTGCCATCTTCAAGACGTGTTTTCCAGAATGTGCTAAAACGGTTCAGAGCTGGGATAAGAGCCACTTTCTCTAAGGGACCCCAAATACTGAACTTCACTCCATAAAGGTCCATGTGTACTTGAAGCAGACAACGGTCAGGGCACTAGCCAGGGAACTCCTTGGCATCCTCCGTAAATGAGCTGGCATCCACTACCAGGAGGCTTTCTTTCATGGACGGGAAATCTCTGCAACACAATCTCGAAAAGAGGAGAGCAATAAAAGGTCTTTAACCAAATTGTTGGAAGGTAATGGCTAAAAAACTGAATCCAATAACTTAATGCTGAAGAAATGCTTGGTAAAGGCATGCTACCGACTTCCTGTCATCTTAAGTCTGAGTTTGCCTCTAGCTTGGACTCATTTGTGAGTTCACTGACAGATGTTGGCTTCCACTGCAGGAACATTCCAGCAAATGAAAGACAGCTTGAAGGGTGGGCAGCTGTGAATGAAAAGGAATAACACTCGTTCGCTACATGAGAAATCCAGACAATTAGGATTCTCAGAGATAGAGAGAGAAAACCAGTCTTTGTCTGGATGCCTGCATTTGCTCTCCTCCACTCTGCAGCACCAGGCTGATAAGTATCTTGTAATATGCAGAGCTGAACTACATCCACTGGCGAGGCAGCAGACAATGACGTGACACACTGAATGGTGCCGCCATAAACCCGAGGTTCATCTGAGTAGAGTTACACGACAGATAAAACGCCGCTAACAGCTTCCTCTATCTGCGCGCCAAGCGGCCGTATTGATTACTCTGATCAAAGATTCTCAATCACTTATCCTGCCGACCTACCAACATGTCACCCATAAATCCTCACAGCTCCAGCCGGTCGGGGTGAATTTAATTTCATGGGACAATGTAAAAGCGCAAACTTGATCTCAACAGGGGTAAGAAGTTACCGCGTCTAATTTGTTATCACAAAATCAAAGCAAAGATTTGTACATTTAATTAGAAATGAAATATTTGCATCTCTAGTCGGAACCACAGATTCTCAATTGGTCTCAAGTCTCCAGCTGATTCCAACGGGTTTTCTTCCAGGATTGTAATTATCTCCTGAAAAGCCCACAGCATGACTGAGTCACCACCGTGTATCACCGTTTCCAAAAACTGTGTTCAAAACTACTTCAACATATTTTTATTTAAGTAAAAATAAAAAGCAGCCATCGAAGAAATTACTCAAGTAAGAGTAAAAAAGTATTTGGAAAAAATCCATTCACTACAATAATACAATAATATTATCTTTAAATATTTCTTCTAATTCCTTTGACATACTTAACAAGCGAAAACAATGTTTAATCAAAGACGTTTTAATGTAATAATCAGTGTTCATTACTGTTTTATTGTTTTCTGTTTGCTGGTTGTTCCTTGGCATTAAAGCATCTACCGTCTCCTTTGGGAAGGTTTGCATCCCTTAGGTCTTTCCTGGATTTTTACCAGTTTTTAGCATTAATTACTTACAGATAATGTTTTTAATGTCTTTTAAGCAGACGCTGCACAATCTGCTGTCATGGTCTCGCAACAAGGAGTCTAGAAATGCCTGGATTACTGAGAGAAACATTGTTCCTAAAATGATCAGGTTTAAGGACTAAATCAAAAATCCTGACTTAAAGAAGGTGAAGCCAGTGGAGAAACTTTTGAAGACTATCAGGTAGTTTGGAGAACTATTGACCAAAACTGGTGGAAAAGTCTAGAAAAAGTCGGGGGGATTTAAGACTTTTGCCCAGCATGATGTGTACATATAAACTGAAACTGATACCAAATTCCAGGAAACCGCAGGCTTCTGTTTTGGACCTAAAAGTTCAGGTTTATATGAGGTCAGCTGATACAGAACGAGGGAATGAATGGTCGACATTTTGATCATAAACAAAGTGTTCCTTTGTGAACGAAGAAAACACAATGGGGTCCTCAGTCAACACGGCTGCTAATTATTTCCCATTAGAGGTTTCAAAGTCCTGCTGCAGATAAATACCACACAGACGAGTTGAGGTTGCTTTTCAATTTTTATCTTTGTTTTTTTTAATTCTTTAAACTAAAGCCTTGCTTTGTGTTGGTCTATTTCAGTCCCTTAGCTAAGCAGATAGCGCCAAACTCAGCACAAATCAGCGTTTTCAGCAGATCCACTTTGTCTGAGAGGAACCCAACGCAAACCTCTGTTCAGACTGACATAAAAACCAACAACTCTGTTGGTTTCCTGTAACTAACCCAGCTTTTAAACACAATGCATGGTCAGGTGACATTTTATCCAGAGTTCAGGGTCAGTGTCCTCTTGGAAAAAGCAGCTTTGTCCAATTATCAGCACCACAGCTGTAGATCTGAGGTGAAGCTGGACCAGATAAACAGTCCCACAGCATGATGCTTGAAAGTTTCCTTAGCTCTTCTCCAAACAGAGTTTTTATGAAACGGCTGTGAATAACAGTTTAAAAGCTTCAACTGAGCTCCTTCTTTTTTGGCTTCATTGTAAAAACACAAAGTCTTACGAAGTATTTATGTCCAGTTTCTAGTACTAACATCTCAGAACGCTTGAAATAAGACAAGCTGACTTACAAGTAACGTTTCAGCAAGATATAGGAGCTCTGAAAATCTTAGTTAAGATATAGTCAGCTGGTTTTACTGCTGTAAGCTCTGTACAATGGCTGCTGGAAAAGACAAGTGTTTTGTTGTTGACTTAACAGTCAGAAACCACTTGATGCATTCTTGTTGATTGTGCAGGAGGCTCTACTTCTGCTTTTCAAGTATGTACGGTGGTATAATTGTGCATCTGTTTGCAGCCATATTAACATGTGAGTGTAAATGTTGAGTTTTGGAGGCGTGGCCAGCAGCAGCTTCTTACATTTAAAGTGATAGAGGCCCAAAAACAGCTGATTCTGCAGAACCAAACTAGAATCTCACTATCTAAGAATCATTTTGTACAACAACGTAATAAACATGTTCTCTTTCGCACTCAGACCCACCGTCACCTGTTGGAAGAACCATAATAGGTCACCTTTAGCGTCAAAGCAGAAACCAAAACTGTGATTCAGGTTGATGGAGCCTCACAACCTTTAGTCTCTTCATTAGAGTTGAATCATCGCTGACCATCAATGAAGCGTCTTTGTGGCCATATTTACCCCTAAATGTGTCCCCTCTCAGGTTTCAGGGAGTTATTAACCGTTCTTATCAAGGCCTGACCATCGGGTCCAGAGTCTGATGTCACCGTAAAGGTCATCTTGTTTAATGTGTCGAACAGAAACGCCAGTCAGCTTTACACGTCTTAGATGAGGCATCTCCGCACATCTCTGACCTTTTCACAGCATCTTGCTGTGTTTCAAATGAACCTGAAAACCTAAACCACTTATCCAGGTTCAAAATTAACAGATGCATCTAAAAAAACCAGGAGGGATTACAGGGATTGAACTGAAACAGACCTAAGGTTGTCTGTCTGCATCATCAACCAGCTTTAAAGACTTTTCTGTCTCCAACGGATGAATCAGAGAATCCTAACCAACACCATATGTGGCACAAACAGTAAGATTTAGGACGATTTACTTTTTAAATAGAGCCAAGTTTATTTAAATCAATCAATTTTATTTGTACAGCAAATTTCAGGAAGAAGAGAGAGGAAGAAGTGCTTTACATCATAAAAACACAAAAATAAAAAGTCATATAAGCACCATTTGATGAGAACTATCATAAAAATCATTAATGTACATCATGTGTTGGTCAGTGTTTCTTTTATTATTAATCAACATCAGCTCTAACCAGGTGGGCTTTTAGTCTCGATTTAAATGAATCAGTGTTTCGGCAGTTTTGCAGTTTACTGTTAGTTTGTTCCAGATGTGTGGCGCATAGAAGCTGAATGCAGCTTCTCCATGTTTGGTTCTGGTTATGCAGAACCAGACTCCAGACTGGTCCAGTTTGGAGTTTGATTATTTTCATGAACTTCCATTCATAATAAATCAAGCTGCTACTCACCCAGGCGGACAGGCACAGCCAGAGACGCAGGGCTCATGCGCAGAGCAGGTGATGTTCAGCAGGTAGGACTCACAGGTGCGCTCACAGGCCACGCCCCTTCCTGCTGATTGGCTGTTCTCCCCATCTGAGCAGTTCAGGTGGAGCTGACCCGGTGGGCAAAGCCTGTCTGCAGAAAGTCAGAAAAATTTCAGCCAAAACATCCGAAGCACTAAAAACTGAGTCAGGGAATCATCTTACCAGTTTCTCCAGTCTGGGGAACCAGTTTACCATTAAGACACAGTCTGTAGGGGAACATCAGGGTATGTTACACATACAAACATTCAAACATTAACACATTTTAAAGAAGAATGAATGTGGGCAGAAACATGGCTGTATGCTAGCATAATGATGAAATTATAGCATTATGCTACCATTATGATAGCATTATGCTGATAGCATAATGAAATGATAGCATAATGCTAGCATACAACCATATTGTTGGCCAAAGGCAATAGTATGAAATGCTGAAATGCTAAAAGTTCGACAGCTTCTGCAATGTTTCTCCTTCTATCTCTGGGTGGCTCTTCAGCAACATTCAGAAAAATCTCCCATAAAAACACTAAAACATCAAAATTTAAATTTACTGAGCCTGGAAATCATTGTTATGTTTTTATTCTAATTCTCTCAATCTTAATCCTTTCCAGATTGTTTTAAACCAGGATTATTCTCATTTTGTGGTTTGACTGAAGACAATAAAAACCTGGAAACCTGAAGCATCTTGTGAGAAAGAAACTTTGGAGAAGATCTTACTGAACACCTGCTGATGTCAAGATCACGTCTCCGGGTTCGTAGTCGGCTCCGAGGAAACTGCAGGGACACTCGGACCTGAGGAGAAACAGGAGGACGGTACGACAACAAAAACATTAAAAACATGAAATAAAAGGTCATTACTTCACCTCAGTGTGCGCCAGTTCAGGTATATCATTCAAATTCACCACTAATGTTCTCCCAATGCACTTTACTAAACTAACAGGTCCAATTAAAACACTCCAGTTGTTCAGACAGAATCAGATTCAGTTACATATATTCTAATTAAATTCTAGTTTAACATCAAATCAAGAATAAAGATCAAAATGATTTACATGATAAAAATATAACACAATTTGGTGTTTTTTGCTTCTCCACTGCAAAAAACACCAAATCCTACAGAGTATCTTTTTATAATTTTTAGTGCAAATATCTTAGTTCACTTAAAATAAAACAAAACTAACTTACAAGAAACTTTTCAGCAAAATGTAAGTTTGTTTTAAATCAATAATTACTTAGTATTGATTAAAATGTATTAGTTCCAGAGGAAACTGCATTTTTTATTAATACTGAGGAATTATTTACTTAAAACAAACTCTTATATCTTGCTGAAAAGTTACTTTTAAATTAGTTTCGTCTTATTTCAAGTGTAATAAAATATTATTAAATATTACTATAGACTAAAAATACATGGTAAGATTTAGCATTTTTTGCAGTGGCAAAATAAAGAAAGTAATAAAACCAACTTGCAGAAATTTGTAACTTCAATCCAATTCTGGGAAATAGAACAAAATAAATATAATAATACAAGAAAAAACAACGGAGTACTGGGGCCAAGCATTTTTTAAATAATTACAAGAACAGATATATTTATTCTTCATTCTTTATCCTCGTAATTGAAATATTATAAATTTATTCTTATATAATGTTGACTTTATTCTTGTACGTTATTCTCTTAATATTATGACTTTATTCTCTTAATTTTACTGTTTTGTTTTTTTATTTGCTCTTAGTATGGCCCTAATGCCGTAATAAAACAAGAATTGTGTAGAAAAAATTTGCTACGTAGCTCCAAACATGATGAATCCACCTAAACGTGTGAAGAGCTGATACAGTGAGCTTTGTGTTTCCCTAAACAAACCATTAACTGTAAGAGAATAGGGCTCAGGTTTAGGAAATGTTTGATTCAATGAGAAAACCTCCTTAAAAAACAGACTAATAAAAATAAAAATGTACAGAAACCATACATTACGTTAAACTGCATCCAGTTTAAAGTCAAATCAGCCTCTGTACTACAAACTCTTTCTCACTGGTTATCAGATATCTGTATCTTCCCGGCCCGAGCGGGAATGAAAAGGGGGTTTCAGGGTGGATTCCTAGGTGTAACTCTATCACATGCTAAGTAAGGCACCGCGCTGCAGTGGGATGTAAAAACCCGGGACATTTAAGAGGAATTAGGCTGCGAGTCTTCCAGGGCGGAGCACGCTGAAAGGCAGAGCGCAATTATGGGGGTCCTCGAGCTCGACAAGGCTTTCCACTTAAGGGCTGACCCCAGATCCAGAGCAGATACAAATATCACTCTGAGAGGGTTTGTTTGGTGGAGAGCTTCCAGCTCAGCAGCCGTCTGCGAGGAAAACTGGAGCTGCTCCAGCAGCCAACACGAAGGCAGCAAACTCCTCAGTCGACACCCAAACGATTTCCAGCAAAACACATCAGAAAGGCATATAAACCAAGTTAAACAACAAAAAAACTAACTCACACCAAATAAATTATACAGACAGGTAACTGTAAAGATTGTAGGAACTGAAGGAAAAACTAAAACTGGAGAAATACACTGCAAAAACACAAACTCTTACCAAGTATTTTTTATGTCTAGTTTCTAATGCAGATGGAATATGCAGAAAAACACCGAATTTTACGTTTTTTTCTCACTTTTATTTAGATATAAAACTGAGAAATAATAACATTTTATTTAGAAATATCATAGTACACTTGAAATAAAACAAAACTGACTTACAAGTAACAATTCAGCAAAAACACAAAATATTTACAAGTATTTTTGGTTTAGTTTCTGGCGCACATATATTATATAAAACTAACTTACAAATAACTTTTCAGCAAGATATTGGAGCTTGTTTTAAGTGAATAATTGTTCTGNTAAAACAGCTCATTCTGGAGAACTGAGCAGACTAAGACCTGATGGCCTTACCTGTGCACACAGGTGTGTGTTCGGTGGTTGTAGAAGGAGCCCTGGGGGCAGACGCAGCCCTCCTCGCAGTCGCCCCCACAGTGCTGCGGGACGGACAGGGAGGAGCAGCGCCGCTGGCAGGCCGACACACAGGTGCCATACTGCATGGTGGCAGGACAGGTGACAGCTGGGAGAGGACGAAGTTTCACAATAAAGTCATAATTATGGCAAGAAAAGCAGAAATGAAAGATCTTTTCCCCCGAATCCTCACCACAGTCCGATACGTGCGCTCGGAAGTCGATGATGAAGGAGAACCTGCGGCAGTGCCGAGCGTAGTGAGCCAGGGCGGAGCAGAGGCAGGGCGTGCCGCACCGGCAGGTGTCTGCGCGGCACTGCAGGTGGAACGGCGTTGGGCTGAGGTACTCATGACAGGCGGCGAACAGGTCCTGGTTCAGGACGTCACACATCTCCGACGCGTAGGTCACTGAGGGAAACACAGGAACGAGGGTTTCATCACGGTTCTCACATCACTTCATTTCCCGCTATGACCTTGTTTTAAGGTCTGAACCTTAAAACAAGTTTTAAGGTTCAGACCTGGAGGCGTTGTTGAATTATTACAGCATGTAACCGAATAGTTTTTGAAGATTTGAGAAATCTGGATTTTTTCCCACCCAGGGCAGCATTTCAGGGCCCCCATACATTATTATTTAAAAATGGTACAAATTCCATCACAACGACGTATTAATAAAATCAGCTGAACAACTGATGGGAAATGTAAA